CTGGTGTCGAGAACAGGCCATGCCTGTCGTGCCCTGGGCATCCTACACGTGCGATTTGTGTATGGCGTGTCATGTGTATGTGTATGATGCGTGTGCGGCCGTATCGGGACGTGTGCCTCATGTGGGTGCCCAATATGTTGTGCATACGTCTTGGGTGCATGATGCCTGAACACGCCAGGCGTGCACTGGCGTTGTATGGTGTATGTTGTGTGTGCGAGTTTGTGCATGCGTGCGGCTGCATAAGGACGCGTGTCTGATGCACGTGCAGTGCACGTGTCGCGTGTGGGTGAAGGGAAGGAGGACGAGGAGGAGGAGAAAGGGGGAGGCGGGAGGTGAGGAAGACGCGGGTGCGACGCGACGAGAACCCCACGAAACATTAGGGGAAACCATCGCTCGCCCCGACGGAGGACCGAGGAGGAGAGAGCGCCGCCCCGGGGCGCAGAAGCACCGCCCCGGGCGCGGGCCAGCGCGAGCAGACATCGAAGCACGGGGTGGCAGGCAAGCCCGCCCTGGCCTGGGCGGCATGCGCGCGCCCCGGCATCCCGCAGATAAAACAGGGCTAGGATCGGGATAAATCGCTCCAGAGCGTTCCGGAGCGCTCTCAGAGCGTTCCGGAACGCTCTGGAGCGGCCGCGGCGCCCAATACATCCTCCAAACCGGCCGATTCTCAGAGATTTCGAGTTATCCCGATCCGATTTTGTCCCGATCTTCGCGTCGTTTGAGCAGACGTCGGCGCCGCAACCGGACAGCGCCCGGCCAACAGCCTCAGGGCGCCACTCTCACGACGTGCAAGCTTCACAACTCCCGCGCGGCGGGGAGGCCCCGACGCCCCGGGTGGAGCACTGCCGCGCGGACGCACGAGCGCCGAGAGCGCAGCCGCACAGGGGCGCCGGCGCCACCACAGCGCAGGGACAGGGGAGGGCGAGGGGTAGGCAGCTACGAAACAGGCATGCAGCATTTGGCAAGCTCCGCGAGCGGGGCAGGGCACGAGCGGCTTGGGGGGAGGGGCGGCCCCGAAGAGAGAGCAAGACGCCCGCGCACACGACAAGCGTGAAATTAGCAAGCATACGACGCCCGGTCCTGCCCCCAAGCTGCTAGCACACTTCGCACTGCAAGCGCCAGCACCAGCACCACACGCCTGCTGTCTCGGACGCTCTGCGGCAGCGGAGGCGAAGCTGATCCTGGAAGCGTGCAGCCAAGGTCCACGGCACCTGCGGCCTTCCCCCTCGGCTGATTAGTTCCACTTGGCAGCTTGATTTTGGACAGAGTGCCTCGCAGTGCCCCCCAAAGTCTATGCTGACCCAAGTGCTGCGGCGCTGCAAGGCACTGGCGACGATCATACAAATCTGAGAACCAGAGCAAGAGTGCTCAGGGACGTACGTTGTGTCACCCCCCACGCTGCTAGCCCAGAAGGTGGCCGCGGGCGGTAGACATCAGAGGACTAGTAGCGGGATGCCCTCACGATGTCACACAAAGGAAAGGACCCAAATCGACGACGACGGTGACCACGCACCTTCGATCAACCGATGCAACTTTGGCTGGCGGCTCTCGCCACGCTGCCGCGGGGCCTTTGTCGCGCGACAAGGTCGCGCAGGATACTGGCAGGGCAGGCGGCTGCAAGTCGGCAATCGTCCCAAGACACAGAATCAGTTCCTCGACCCCATTGTCCAGGAGGGTCTGCCCCCCCCGCGCGCCACTGCAATTCCAAACTTGCGATCGACCTAGATCCACCACCCGGCCTTTCCGTCCACGAGAACGGGCCACAAAAGGAACCCGTGGACCTGGGCCCCGCGCACCCACATCCGAACACCGCTATTCGCAGGACGCGGGACTAGGTCACAACCTTCCCCGTCTGACTCCTCAGCTTCCCGCTCTTGTCCTGTTCCACAAACTTACCGCAACTGATTCAAAGGGCGTTTTCAGTGGAACCGCGTGCGAAACCCCGCTCCTGGGGCTTGCGGTGGAGCTCCCCGTGGGGCCACGACAGGTGTGAGGGGTGAACTGACATGAGTGGAGAACTTCGTGCGAAACCCCGCTCCTGGGACATTCGGTGTGAGGGGTGAACTGACATGATTGGAGAACCGCGTGCGAAACCCCGCTCCTGGGACATTCGGTGGAGCTCCCCGTGGGGCCACGAAGCGTGTATGGGGCGCGAGCCGACGTGGGTGGAAAAGCGCCTGCGGGATCCCGCCCCTGGGGCATTGAGTGGGGCCACCCGTAGGGCTACCCGTGGGGCCACGCATTGAGTGGAGATACGCACGCGAGACCCTACTTCTGGGAGCTCTCTTGGAGCCCCTCGTGGGGCCACGAGGCGTGCGAGAGGTCAGCCGACATGGGTGGAGAGGCGCTTGCGGAACTCTGCTCCTGGGGGCATTCGGTGGAGCTCCACGTGGGGCCACGAAACGTGTAGGGGGCGAGCGGGAATGGGTGGAGAACCGCGTGCGAAATCCAGTGCCCGGGGGCTTTCGGTGAAGCTCCCCGTGGGGCCATGAACCGTGCGAGGGGTGACCCGACATGGGTGAAGAACCGCGTGCGAAACCCCGCTCCTGGGGCATTCGGTGGAGCTCCCACGAGACGTTTTAACGGTTAGCCGACATGGGTGGAGAACCGCGTGTGAAACCGCCGCTCCTGGGGCCTTCGGTGGAGCTTCCCTTGGGTGAGCCGACAAGGGTGGAGAGCCACGTGCGAGGCCCCGCTCCCCGCGGGGCCACGAGGCGTCGTGTGAGAGGTGGGCCGGCACGAGCGGAGAAGCGCCTGCGAAGCCCTGCTCGCGGGGTCTTCCGTGGAGCTCCCCGTGGGGCCACGAGGCGTGCGAGCGGTGGGCCGAGCTGCGTGGAGGAACACGTTGTCAGATTCTCGGCCACAACGGGCGTTTTGGGGGGGCGGCAGGGGGGAGGCGTAACGCAGGGCACCCCCGCCATGATTTCGGCACCACAGCGCCTGTACGCATCACAGCAAGCACCACAGTGCGCAGCACAGTCTGCACCGCCGCAGCCGCGTGCACCATCGCCTATGCACTGCGCAATGCGTACGTGCAGCACCAGTGTGTTTTGCCCCCAAACCCTCCTTCAAGCATGATTCTGTGCTGGTGTTTGCTGGACCCGAGGGCGCCCGAGTGCTGGACGACGGCGACGACGACAACGATGACGACAACGACGACGAGGACAACGGCGACGGCGACGACGACGACGAGAACGACGACGATGACGATAAAGACGATAACGATGATAACGACGATAACGACGACGACGACGAGGACGACGAGGACGGCGAGGACGAGGACGAGGACGAAGACGACGAACACGAGGAAAAGGACGACGACGAGGACGAGGACGACGACGTAGGCGACGACGATAGCGACGGCGACGGCGACGGACGCCACTGAAGGTCTCCAGAGGTCTCCGGGAGCCTAAGGAAGTTTCTGGAGATCTCTGGAGGCGTCTGGAGGCCCTTCGAGGCCCTTGGCGACGACGACGAAGACGAGGGCGACGAGGAGGACGAGGACGAGGACGACGACGACGAAGGCGACGACGATAGCGACGGCGACGGACGCCACTGAAGGTCTCCAGAGGTCTCCGGGAGCCTAAGGAAGTTTCTGGAGATCTCTGGAGGCGTCTGGAGGCCCTTCGAGGCCCTTGGCGACGACGACGAAGACGAGGACGACGAGGAGGACGAGGACGACGACGACAAGGACCAGACGAGGACGGGGACGAGGACGACGATGAAGACGAGAACGAAGACAAGGACGGGGACGAAGAAAAGGACGACGACGACGAGGATGCCGGCCAACTCCCAAGGTCCACAAAGCTCTTCGGAGGCCCATAGAAGTCTCCGGATACCTCTGGAGGCGCCTTGGGCCTTCGAAGCCCTCGACGACGACGACGACGACGATGACGACGGGGACGACGGGGACGACGACGACGATGACGACGACGACGAAAGCGACGACGATGACGAGAACGACGAGGACGACGAGGACGAGGGCGAGGACGACAACGACGACCGCTTGTGAAGGCCTTTGGACGCCTCCAGAGACCTAATAAGGAGGTTTCCGCAGACCTCTGGAAGCGTCTCGAGGCCCGTCGAGGCTCTGGGCGACGACGACGACGCCGACGACCACCACCACGAGGACGAGGAGGACGAGGACGAGAATGAAGACAGAGACGAGGATGAGGACGGGGACGGGGACGACAATGACGACGACTACAGTCAACCCGCATAGTAAGGATGGGCAGCCTTCCCAAGGGTACCCTTGCATCCTTACCCCTTCGGCCCATCTTTGGCCCCTTTCGCTGGCCGAGCCCCGCTCGCAGAGTGTCGACACGGCCTTCCAAAGCCCTTGCATCCTTACCGCGCATCCTTGCTATACGGGTTGACTGTAAAGCCGCGACGACGACGGAGAGGACGACGACGACGATGACGACAACGGCAACAACGACGACGACGGCGACAAAATCGGCAACAAGCACCACACTAACCTGCGAGCATCACAATGGCAGTTTCGGAGGCGCACGCGACGTCATGGGGGGAGAAGGGGGGGGCATACGGCGCGTTATGGCCGGGAAGGTTAGCAGAAACGCGCTCGAGAACCGCGTGCGAACTCCCCGCTCCTGGGGCCTTCGGTGGAGCTCCCCGTGGGGCCACGAAGAGTATGAGATGTGAGCCGACATGGGCGGAGAAGCGCTTACGAAACCCCCTGCTGCAAGATCAGCCAGCATCGAATCGGGAAATTTGATCGAATGGGACTGTGCGTCGGATCGGGCTGCGTCGGCGCGGTGTCGGAATCGAATCCAATCGGCTGCGCCATGCTGCACAATAGCGCCATGCAAGAATCGGGCCGAATCGGATCGCAGAGCAGCGCAACTGGTGGGCGCCCAGAATATCCATCTGAGCCCTGAGCTTCCGAAGACATCTGGCAAGGCGCCAACATGCAGCCGAGGCTGCCCAATCGGGCTAACGTTCGCACGCCAGCACGCGCGCGGCTGAGAAAGCAGCCCGTCCTTTTTGTCCTTTCGCCACCGGCAGCGCTTCTCCAATGCAGGGCCCTGTGGGATGCTAAACGCAAGCAACCATACGCTGAGGATAATGAAACAAACGAAAACGCGAGTGCCATCAGCTCATCAACAACCATGCGCACCCACTCTGTCTCCGCCTGCCCCTCCGCCCTGATATCCCTCGACCCGGGCAACTCCAACACCAAAGCCAGACGCGCGCAAACTGTTAGGCGGCCACAAACATGCCATATACAACAATTATCCTGGCGAAGGACCCGACCATATGCACTTGTGGGTACCGCAATTGAAAATATCTTCTTCGGTGGAGCTCCTTATGGGGCCACGAGGCGCTGCACTGGCTGGGGGGGGGACGCATGCGGGCGGTAATACAGAGGCCGTCGGTGGAGCTCCCGATGGGGCCACGCAGCGCTGTACTGGGTGGGTGAAAATGCCACATTGGATGTGTGGGACGCATGCGGACGGTCCCACTGGGGGCTTCGGTGGAGCTCCCCATGGGGTCACGAAACGCTGTGCTGGGTGGGTGAAACTGCCAAATTGGGTGTGTGGGACGCATGTGGACGGTCCCAGTGGGGGCTTTTGTGGAACTCACTCTAGGGGCCACGAAGCGCTGCACTGGGTGGGTGAAAATGCCAGATTGCGCGTGCGGGACGCATGCGGGCGGTCCCACTGGGAGCTTCGGTGGAGCTCCCTATGGGGCCACGAAACGTTGTACTGGGTGTGGCGGACGCATGTGGCCACCCCCACCGGGGCCTTCTGTGGAGCTCCCTATGAGGCCACGAGGCGCCGCACTGGGTGTGGCGGACGCATGTGGTACACCCCACTGGGGCCTTGGGTGGAGCTCTTTCGGGCCACGAAGCGCCGTACTGGGTGTGGCGGATGCATGTGGCGACCCCCACTGGGGCCTTGGGTGGGGCTCCCTATGGGGCCACGAAACGCTGTACTTGGTGTGGCGGACGCATGTGGCCACCCCCACTGGGGCCTTCGGTGGAACTCCCCATGGGGCCACGAAGCGCCGTACTGGGTGTGGTGGACGCATGTGACCACCCCCACTGGACCCTTAGGTGGAGCTCCCTATGGGGCCACGAAACGCTGTATTGGGCGTGGCGGGCGCATGTGGGCACCCCCACTGGGGCCTTCTGTGGAGCTCCCTATGACGCCACGAAGCGCCGTACTGGGTGTGGCGGACGCATGTGGTACACCCCGCTGGGGCCTTAGGTGGAGCTCCCTATGGGGCCACGAAGCGCCGTACTGAGTGTGGCGGACGCATGTGGTACACCCCACTGGGGCCTTAGGTGGAGCTCCCTATGGGGCCACGAAACGCCGTACTGGGTGTGGCGGACGCATGTGGTACCCCCACTGGGGGGGGGCACGGGAGGAGGAGACGCGGGGACCGTTTCTTCAAAACGAGGACCCAACACCACAGGACGGTTGGGAACAACGTACCCAATGCGCCCCATCGGTTTACGGAACACTGCGCTGGGCAACAGCATGCGCGCTATGCGCCATTCTGCTCTTGCCGCATGAAAGCCCGTGCTGTCAGAGGCGGCCTCCATGGCAGCGGCCATGGCCGGCGGACCTCACGAGACATGGCGCGTTTTTGCCCGCGCGCGGGGGGGGCGCATGCCTACCATGTCGAGCAAACGGCGGCAATCAAAACATGGCCTCCCACCCGCGTGCCGTCATGTTGCACGGGTCGGCTCTGCAGCCCCCTGGCACAACTGGCATTCTGACAGGACTTCTAGGGCCGCTTGCGGCTCGCCCAAATGAAAGAGTGCCGACTGTAGGCGTCGGCATGCTCCGCAGAGGGGGTCGAAACACAACGTCTCAAAACAAGCGCTTGGGGCTCTCGCGTGCACATGGAGTGAGCAGTGGAGTCTCCATTATGCCGTAGGGCTGTCTTTCCTCCTGCGCGCGTGCTGCCTGCTTCGGAGGTGTGCTGCGCGCCCGGACGGCACCGGCGTCAGTGGCATGCGCACTGGCTCTTGCGGTGCGAGGCGGGACTTTCTCCATGACCATCGCCTGGGCGATCGATCTTCGGGGGCCTCGGTGAGCGGCGGATATGGATGTATTTGCCCCCCCCCCCTTCCCCCCCACGACGCGAATATGTCTGTCCATGTCTACCGCTTGCCGATCCCCAGAGATCGACCCCCTGGGCGGTGGTTGATGAATAACCCCCCGCCCCCACAATGAGGGCAAACGTGCACAATCCCACCAGCCCTCTGGCGAGCGTTTTTTGTCTCGGCGTTTCGACATTGGGCGGACGGGGGGGAGGGGGGGTCTGGCTCCAGACCTCTGCTTAATGCGATTGGTTGCCACCGTGCGTCTCATGGGGGAGACCTCATCTGTTCGAAACAAGCGCCAAACAATGGCCAAGATCTAGTCCACGGGGGGGGGGAAGGGGGGGGGCGAGGGCCCGCGCCGATCGGCAAAACAATGAATAATAAATGCCCACCTGGGCGCAGGCAGGTGATTTGAGTACGACCTCTTCCAACGTCCTTTCTTCTCCTTCGGTGAAGGGCTCATCCCGCCGCCGCCCCACGGGTCGGCCTGGACGGGGTGGGAGGCGCGGGCGGCCATGGGGACGTCCAAAAAATCACCGCCGGAGGAGGTCATTTCGGATTGGAAGATGCTCCAAAGAGGCCAACGTCTGAAATCAAACGAGGGTTTTTTCTTCGGCATTTCGACACTGAGCGGAAAAAGGGCGGGGGAGGGGGGGGTCTGGCTCCGGATCTCTGCTTAATGCGACTGTCTGCAACCGTGCGTCTCATGGGGGAGACCCCACCCGCTCGAATCAGGCGCCAAAACACAGCTAAGATCTACTCCGTGGGGGGGAAGGGGGGTTGGGGGCCCGCGCCGATCGGCAAAACAATGCATAAATAACAATCACGATGTGCTATTTTTTCCCAACAGTCCTGTGGTGTTGGGTCCTCGTTTTGAAGAGACAGCGACCGCCCCGCGTCCTCCCTCCTCCTCCTTCCCCCCCTCCCTCCTCCCCTCACCCGTCGTCATCACCACCATCGTCATCATCATCGCCGTCATCAGCACCATCGCCCCTCACACGCTTCGTGGCCCCATAGGGAGCTGCACCGAAAAGCCCAAGGCCGCCGGCCGCATGCGTCCCGCACACCCACTTCGGCACACCCCTCACACGTTTCGTGGCCCCATAGGGAGCTGCACCGAAGGCCCACGGCCGCCAGCCGCATGCGTCACACCCCTCACACGTTTCGTGGCCCCATAGGGAACCCCACCGAAGGCCCCAGTGCTGCCGGCCTATGCGTCCCGCACGCCCAATTCGGTACACCCTCGCACGTTTCGTGGCCCCATAGGGAACTGCACCGAAGGCCCCAATGCTGCCGTCCGCATGCGTCCCGCACACCCAATTCGGCACACCTCTCAAACGCTTCGTGGCTCCATAGGGAGCTGCACCGAAGGCCCACGGCCGCCAGCCGCATGCGTCCCGCACACCCAATTCGGCACACCCCTCACACGTTTCGTGGCCCCATAGGGAACCAGTGGTCCCGACAGCTTCCCTAGGGCCGATTTCTTCGTCGTCGTCGTCCGTCGTCGACGTCCGACCTGCGCGTGACGCGGCGCCCGAATCCCTTGAACTTTGGAGTGCGCGAGCAAAGAGGAAGGAAAGGAAGGGGAGGAAGCGGGCGCGATCCTCGTGTGGGGCGTGCCGACATGGGCGTCGCGGCGCGCGGGCGCTGCCGTCGGGGTTCCCGGGAAAACTCCTTGCGGAGGCTACGCTCAGTGTCGCGAGTTCTCAGAGTCAGGCAGACCCAAACCATTCACTGTCGTATGCATTCACATCAGGCGACTCCATGCCCGCAGTCATGCAAATAGAATCAGTCGCGCGCATATTCATTCAGAATCAGACTCGCTCGCGCTGGGACTCGCCCGTGCTCGAGCTTTCATACTCAGACCTATCGTTTTCGTTCGTGTAGTGTACCCTATCACACAATTCGGCACACCCCTCATACGGTTCGTGACCCTATAGGGAGCGCCACCGAAGAATATATCCACAATTGCGGTATTCAGAAATCCCCAATTCTGACAGATCCCCAAGGGCATACCAAGAGGGGCCAATGAGGCAATGTTTCGGGGTTTCCAGAAGGGGGGGGTGATAAAAGACCCTGCGATGTCAATTATGATTGCTTCCCGCATGGCCCCAAGAAGGCTCTAAAGGCCCCACACACCGGATGCACAGCAACAAAGTGCTGGAGTCTTGCCCGGCGAAAAACTAAAAATAAAACTGGGCACGCCGCCACAATTATAGGGTCGCAAGAACCTCTAGACACAAAGTGGCCGAGGGAGCGCCCGCCCGGACTGGCGGCCACGACAAGAAAACGATAATCCAAAACATCCTGGCGAAGGACCCAACCACTGGGACCCGGCGGTAAACCGTCAACCTTGGTTACGGCCGGGAACTCGTAGAGCTTCCTCGTGCAATGCGGGCGCGGCAATCTCGCATTGCGCGCGCGAGGGCGCGGTCTCATGAAGAAGGACGTGGAGAAGAAGAAGAAGAAGGAGTGAGGGAAAAACGTTAGTGGGAAAAAATAAACATACCAGACCCCGTTCAGGCGTCTGGACACTGTAAACAAGCGCGCCTGTTGATTTCCTTCCACTGGCTGCGCCGAAGAGCGTAAAGAAAACCATCACCATCTCTTAAATAATAGCAGAGTACGAATAGCTGTTCGGTCCCAGCGCTGATAGCAGACCGAGTTCAGGCGTCTAGATACTTTAAACTAGCGCGCCTGATTCTTTCCGTTCGATTGTTGTGCCGAACAGCTATGTAGCTCATTTGCTGCTCGAGTTAATTCATGAAGCCAATACCATCTTCAAATAATGAGCACAGTACGGATAGCTTTTCGGCCCCAGCGCTGATAGCAGACCGAGATCAGGCGTTAGATACAGTTGACTAACGCCCCTAATGATTACCTTCCGATTGCTGTGCTGAACAGCTATGTAGCTCATCTGCAGCGCGAGTTAAGTCAAGAAAACCAATACCATCTCCAAGAAATTAGCGAGTACGAGTAGTTTTTCAGCCCGAGCGCTGATAGCAGACTGATGTCAGGCGTCTAGATACTTTGAACTAGCGCGCCTGATGATTTCCTTCCGATTGCTGTGCCGAACAGCTATGTAGCTCATCTGCAGCTCGAGTCAAGTCAAAAAGCCAATTCCATCTCCAAGAAAAGCAGAGTACGAATAATGTTTCGGCTTCTGCGCTGATAGCAGACCGAACTCAGGCGTCTAGATACTTCAGACTATCGCGCCTGATGGCTTCCTTCCGATTTCTGTGCCAAAGAGCTCTCCAGCTCATCTGCACCTCGAGTTAAGTGAAGAAACTCATCATCATCTCGAAAAAATCGGTGGAGTACAAATAGTTGTGCGGACCTAGCTCTGGTAGCAGACCGCGTTCAGGCCTCCAGAATCTGGAGACGAACGCGCCTGATGATTCTGGATCGATTAGGTGTGCATACCAGCTCTGTAGCGGTCCTACAGCTCGAATTAAGTTCAGAAAACCGACATCATCTGTCAAAATGACTCGAAATGCCGATCCCGCCTGAGTGCTTTTTGGCAGTAGTAGGTACCCGATCGAGCTGAGATTAAGATGGCGAGCGGGAATCAGATCGAATATGGGTGGGAAGCATACTAGAGCTCAAACGAATTGTTGAATTTCGACAGATCGAATTTAAACCGAACAAATTTATGCACAACTTCCGTCGATATTCTTTTTTGACAACTAGCCCCCCAGCGCGCCGGAATTACTCTTCTAGCTTCGCCGCTAACGCTCCTTAGGGAAGCTCTACGAGTCATATACAATTGTGCGTACCGAGGTTGAGAGAATCGTCTTCGGTGGAGCTCACTATGGCGCCACAAGCGCGCAAGGGGCGTGCCATAATGGTGGTCGGGGGGGGCGCATGCGAACTGTGCCGTTGTGGCCTTCGGTGTAGCTCCGTATGGGGCCACGAAGCGGGTGAGGAGTGCGCCGAATTGGGTCCGGGGTCCGCATGCGAACCTCGCCACTGAAGCCTTCGGTAAAGATCCATATGGGGTCACGAAAGCGCGTGAGGGGTGTGCCGAAACGGGCGCGGCGATGCCATGTGGGCTTGGCCACTAGGCCTTAGGTCGAGCTCCCAGTGGGGCCACGGAGCGTACCAGGGGTGTGCCAAAATCGTTTGGGGGCGGACGCATGCGAACGTCGCCACTGGGACCTTCGGTGGAGCTCCAAACGGGGCCACGAAACGTGTGATGGGTGTCCAAAGTGGGCGGGGGAGGGGGGGGTGGGGGGGCATGCATGCGCACGTCGCCACTGGGGCCTTGCGTGGAGCTCCCTATGGGGGCACGAAACGTGTGAGGGGTGTGCCGAAATCGATGGGGGAGAAGCATGCGAACTTCGCCACAGGGGCTGTAGGTGGAGATCCCTATTTGGTCACGAGGCGTGTGAGGGGTGTGCCGAAATGGGCGGGGAGGCGCATGCGAACGTCGCCACTGGGGCCTTGGGTGAAGCTCCCTGTGTTGCCAAGAAACGTGTGAGGGGTGTGCCGACATGGGTGGGGGT